CCATCCCATCCCATCTGGTTCTCTTCTTTCTTTGAAGTTAGGATGAGATTGCCACACCTCCATGCTCAATCTTTGAGTGATCAAGGAAAGAGAGAGGAAAGAAATGTCACATTAAGGGAGACAGGCAAATATTGTCCCAATTAAAAAAATAAAGGAACAGGGTAGAATTTGAACACTTGAAAAAAGCCAGTAAGCTTGATTTTAAATCCTGGCAAAATTCTAGAATGGTTTGTTACAGGAACAGCTTTTGAACACTTAGAATCGAAAGTGATGATCGCTAAGAGCCAACATGGCTTCAAGAACATGACATGCCAGGCTACATTTTTTTTCTTCCTTTTTTTTTTTTAAACATAGTTGCCAGATTAGAGAAATGCTGTAGGAATAGTATACCTCGTTTTCAACAGAGTATTTGACAGTCTTTCATGCAATCTGTGTTTATTGAGAGGTGTAATTCCCAGGAATAAGAAGGAGCTAGGCCCATTCATTCTGGACCACACCTATAGTATTGTAATGAGTTATGGGCATCACATTTTGGGAAGGACATTGATAAAATGGAGAATGTCTGCAGGAGGACCACAGAGAGTAGTAATAGGCCTGGGGTCTATGCCATATCAATCAACGAATCAAGAAGTATTCATTAAGTGCCTACTAGAAGATATGCCAGGGGGCAGCTGGGTGGCCCAGTAGATAGAGTGCTGGGCCTGGAGGCAGGAAGACTCATCTTCACAAGTTCAAAGCCTAGGTTGCTGAAAGAAACAGGAAAAAAGAACATTTGTGTGTGAAACACTTTTAAAAAATCAAATTTAGAAGGAAAACAGTCAATCAAGTAAATATCTTTGTAAGAAACCATCAAGTGTTCTGAGAAGACTAGAGAGAGACTCTAGTCTGTCTCAGAGACAAAAGCCTGGACTTAACATGGGGATGGCTACAAGGCATTGTTCTCCAACACTTTTGAAAAGTTTTAAAGGATAAAAGTGAGAAATGTAAATCACAGAACTGTCTGGGGCCTGTGACAAGATTGTTTGTTGTTTGTTTGTGGCATACCTGACAGAATTATAGATTGTTGTGTTTTCAAACCCAAGTTAGAAATGGATCACTACTCATGAATAAGCTCTGATTTGAGGCATTAGAAGTCACAGGCGACTAGATGAAGATCGAAGAGGAGAAACTAGGAGAATGAGAAGACACACCAGTCATCTGAAGAGAGATACTGACAAAGAACTGTCCCTTGTCACCATACAGAGGACAGGAGCATCACAAGGAGAGACCCCTTACTTCGGGCGTGCTCTCTGACACTATGCACATGGGTGGGAGAGTATGACCCAGGTTTATGAATGGACTGTTTAAATCATTTCTAATTTCATCTTCTATTCAGTAAATGTTACGGTTTTTCTTGGGTTTGCATTCTCACTCAGTCTATGTTCCATGTCTAATGACTGATACAACGGTGTCACTGTGATTGATTTTGTGCAAATTGAAACACATAAGTGGGGGCTCAAAAGCTAAAGTGGCAAGTAGTAGGAGTATATCCCCCCCTACATGCTAGGGTTCCCCCCCTCCAGATCCTGAGAATAGATAGTAGCTATGTGACTACTCCGTCTGGGGATACCACTCTGACCTGCCAGCATTGACAAACCGGCTCCAGGCCCTGGGGGAGAGGATTGAGGGTAAGCAGAGGCTGTTATTTGCAGGCTAAACTTATAAAGTCAGCAAGCTATTTCTTCTTCTTGTAGGCTATCAGTTACACTAGTCCCTTCAGAGTGTCCTTAGTCAAAACTCTAGAAGACGAGAGTGTGCATCCATCCTTGCAGCACCTGGCCTGTGGAGGAACTCTTCCCCTTGCCCTAGTGTTTGGTGGCTAAGCCCTGCCTTCCTACTGCTGTGAATTGCTTAATATATTCTTCTCCTGGGGAGAGTTATTGACACTCACTGGTCCAGAGTATGCATGCCTTTCCTCTTCCTGGTGTCCAGTTATTAACAACCATGGGGAGGTAATGCAGCTGAAACCACAGAGACAGAAAGAGAGTACACATAGACACTGCCCCCGGATATTGCAATGGTATTTCTGCCTCTGCCAAAGTTCCATCCAGCCTGCATCTTTAAATGATGGGGGAGCAGTCAATACTACTGTTGCCATTCTAAGCTGAAGGTCGAGAGAGGCAAAATTGTTTAGGGATTATTAAATCAATCTACTTTCCAGTCAAGGCTTTTAGGCTGAATTATCCTCTCTGAGTTTCATTTTCTTCCTCTGTGAATTGAGGGTGTTGGCCTCCACAAAAGGAAGCTGAGGCCGAGAAGGATGCTATGACTTGTCCAAAAGCACACAGCTGTTTTAGAGATAGAGCTGGCGCTAGAGCTATGGATTTCCCGACTCCTGGTCCAATACTCTTTTAAATGAATGAATAAGGGGCAGCTGGGTGACGCAGTGGACAGAGCACCGGCCCTGAAGTCAGGAGTACCTGAGATCAAATCTGCCCTCAGACCAAACATTTGACACTTACTAGCTGTGTGACCCTGGGCAAGTCACTTAACCCCAATTGCCTAAAAATAAAACAAACAAAAAATGAATGAATAAGCATGACTAGCACTATTTGTTGTTGTTCAGGAAGGTCCTATTCTTCATGACCCCCTTTGGGGTTTTCTTGGCAAAGATGCTGGAAGGATTTGCCAATTCTTTCTCTAGTTCATTTTACAGATGAGGAAACTAAAGCAAATAGGGTGAAGTGACTTGCTTAGGGTCACACAGTACCTGAAGCTAAATTTGAACTCATGAAGATGGGTATTCCTGATTCCAAGTTCTATCCACTTGGCCACTTAGCTGCCCAACACGAGCTAAGTACTGTGCTAAGTGCTGGGGATAGAAATTAAAAGCCAAGACAATTGCTGCCCTCAAGGATCTTATATTCTAATAGAGGAAAACAATATACCTAGGGGAGTTGGGGGGTGGGGAGCACTTTTGTCCAGAATTTTACAAGGACACTATGAGATTTTAAACACACACACACACACACACACACACACACACACACACACACACACACACACACTTCATAAAATGACATTACAAATGACCAGGGAAGACTGGGTATAAGAAAATAAATTTGGCAAAAATTAAAATTAGTAAAAAACATTAAATAGAGGGTGATTTAAACCCATATCTGTCTTGACTTCAAGTCCAATGCTTCACTGTCACCTAAGTATTCTTCACTGATAATAGGAACATGCGAATAAAGACTTTCAGAGCTGTAGGCTCAGAAATATTCTTTTATTGACTAGCATGACTAGTTCTCACCAGCAGCTAACCCCTCTAATCAAATTGATAAATCAACAAGCATTTATTAAGCAACTACTATATTCCAGGACTATTATTAAACACCTACTATATTCCAGGCACAATGCTAAGCACTGGGGACACTGAGAGCAGTCCCTGCACTCAAGGAGCTCACAGTCTAATGGGGGAGACAACACGCAAAGCAACTATATGAGAAAGATACATAAGAGATAAATTGGAAATAATCTTGGAAGGCATTAAGATTAAGGAGAATGAGGACGGGCATCTTGTAGAAGGTGGGACTTTAGCTTATTCTTAGAGGTGAGAAGTGAGAAATTTCCAGGCCTGGGATAGTGCCAGGGGAAACTGAGGGAAAATGGCCAGAGTTGGGAGCTAGAGTGTCTTATGCAAGGAGGCCAATGTGGCTGGATCATAGACAATGATAATACAAAAGTTTTATTTGTGAAGGTCCAAAATGAGTCTGAGATCCAGAAAGACCATCCAATCAGGGAAGAGAGAGGTGATCACGAGAGACACAATGAGCGGCGGGTCACTAGGAAATTGGAGCATGTGTCAGGCATCCCACTTTCGTTGTTTAAGTAGATCAGAGTGGGACCAGCATTATGGCTGATTTGATTGCCACAAAACTTCTTATATATATACCTGAGGCCTGGACTGGTTCTGGAATAATAAGAAGACTACAACTATCACCTCCTTCATTCAGATATGATGGATAAATAGAATTTACACAGTCAAAGTTCAAATTAGCTTTACTGGTAGCCACGTTATACCAATGACTCACACTAATTTTCAGTCCATTAAAATTCCTAGGTATTTTTCATAAACAATTGAATAACCTTCATCCCCCATCCTGTACTCATTAAGTTGATGTTTTGAACTCAAGTATTACATTTGCAAATAAGCAATCACCATTAAATTAATGGCACAGTGGATAGTGTCCTGGCCTGGAGCCAGAAAAAGGAGTCTTCTTGAGTTCAACTCTGTCCTCAGATGCTCACTAGCTCTGTGAGCCTGGACAAGTCATTTAACCCTGTTTGCCTCAGTTTCCTCATCTATAAAATGGAAAATGGAAAAGGAAATGGCAAACCACTCCAGTATCTCTGCCAAGAAAACCCCAAATGGGGTCACAAAGTCTCACATGACTGAAAAATGACAGCAGTAACTAACTAATCAATATTAATGCTGAAAAGTCTGAACCCAGAGTGGAAATTAAGGAGGTGGGGAGTTAGGCAGGCAATTATAGAAACTTCCTCACTCCCATAACTTTGCAGTCAGGCTGACAAGTCTCAACAAATTACGAAAATTTTTCAAAGTGTGGCTGACTTCATTTGAATGGTGCTTCATTGCCAGAGCGATTCTGTATTTTTTAGAGTTTTTTTTTTTCTTTCAGTGCCACAATCAACATGGTAAGGCTTGGAATATGACCAGCTGTTCTCAATTGGCAGATTGGAACCTGTGGACTACAGGATGAGAAGACTGGCGTCAACAATGGCCACCCACATTGACCAAGTGCTTATTTTGGACTAATACTGCACCACGTTAGGCAGGGGAGGGAGGGGAGATTGTAAATTTAGACCAATTATGGACCTTACTTCCACAGGTCCTTTTAGTCTACTGAGGTGGGTGAGGTTTGGAGAGGATCAAAAATGCTTGGGTGGGGTTAACCCTTTGCAAAGGAAACTCCAACAGGGCATTTGAAACCGACAGATGTGATGTATTAAAGTTTTTATTTCATATGAACAATGCTTGTTCACTTTGAATCCTTACAATAAACATTTAGATTTATTAGGCTGGGCAATGGGGGCAAATGCAAACATAGATAATAATTCTCTGTCCCTGAAAAGTTACAATTTAGCCTGAAAGACCAGAAAGTTTAACAGTATGAAATAGTGAATCAATTAATCATCAAGCATTTATTAAGCACCAACAATATACTAAAGGCACGTAGATAGGAAGAGAGAGAGACTGCGGCACGCTGATGGGTTACAGCAGACTTCTTGAAGAAGGTGGGGTGTGATCTGGGTCTCAGGGCAGGATTCTTCTCCATTGCCCAGATGCAGGAAAGGGAGAGGAGGTAGGGCCTTCTTGTATCCAGCTCAGTAGAAGCTTGGCTTAATGTTGTTATCCCGTTGGTTCCCGTCTTTGCATTCCAAACGAATAAATGGGGGGAGTTAACTTTTTTTTAATGATCGACTCCAGATGTTCAAACTGAAGACTCATATGAAGTGGGCAAAGCATTCAACACACACCAGGGCTCTTACAGGAAGCTTTAAGTGTGCAGAGAGCTTGTGGTTTAGACCTCAGTGTTTCCTGGCAAGGCTGAACATGTCTGAGAAACCCAGGGAGGGATGAGGCCACAAATATCACACTGCTGTTTCAAAGAACCTACTTCATTGTCTCTACTTTAGAACTTTAACTGACAATTCTCGCTCTTTCCTGTTTCTTCTCTCCTCCCTGATCCAGGGTACCTGAATATTAAGTCCCACATGGGAGTGAGCATAGGCATGCAGAGGGCATTGGCTAGCCCCAAGCTCTCTGCATGCCTATGGGGTGACCTTTTGATAACAACCATCAAGGCTATTTAATGGAACCAAATTCTTTCTCATCCCTGCTACTGTGCATGCCTTCCGATCAGCTTCTTGCTGACCTCCAATCCAAAACGAATGTGGGTTGGTTCACAAGACAATGTGAAATGGTACAATGGAAAAACTATTGCATTTGGAATCACTAGACCTAGGTTTGATTCCCCGGTGTGCTGGTTACTCCCTGTGAGACCCTAGGCAAATCGACCTGTCTGGGGCTTGGTTTCCTCACCTGTAAAATGAGCCAGTTGGACCAGATAGCCTTTAAGATCCATAATAGCTCCAAAGCTCTGATCCCTTTCAGTTCTGTGCTTTCTTCCAATGCGACTTTGGACAAGTAATTACATCTCTCCAGGCCCCGGTTTCCTCATCGGTAAAAGGAGGGGGCTTGGATTTCAGAGCCTCCAAATTCAGCTCTTCATCTATGGTCCTGTGAACTATGATTTTCCACTTCCTAGAATATTTGCTCAGGACAGCCATTAGAGGAGTGGGCAATAAGAGTCATCGAGAAGGATTATGGGCAGCTCTGAACAGCACTGGGGAACCAAGTTCAAACCCTAAACTGTGCTCCTCCCAGTTTGCTATGGTTTATCCATCTAGCCAAGCTGGGGAGCCGACACACCCTTTCCAGTTTCATGCCACGGGACTTGGATGTGTGTGTGTGTGTGTGTGTGTGTGTGTGTGTGTGTGTATGTGTGATAGGGGATTTTATAGACCTGGGTTGACCAGACTTTAGGACCCAAGTTTGATTCTTCTTCTGTATTGTAAACCTGTCCAACTCAGTATTATATTCTAACATAGTTAACTTTGGGCTCTGTCTGACAAGGAGCAGACTGAGATGGTCACAGCAATGATTTCTCCCTCCCTTACAAAAGAGTAGATACGAACAAACACTTCAAGACAAGGCTTTTCTCATTTAGTTACACATGGTCACAACATCTGCATGGCCCAGCAAAGCTTTTTTTTTTTAAACAGTATCCATTATTCCCTACCTTCCTTCAAGGCTCAGTTTCTGTACTCTCACAGGAAGTGTTTCTGATACCCTTAGCTCAAGAATTTGTAACTTAGGGTCTATGAAGTGTTTTTTAATGTTAATAGCCATTTCAGTATCATTGGTCCCTTTTGTATTCCTTTTTGTTTTATCTTATTCATTTAAAAGCATCACTCTGAGAGGGGTCCATAGGCTTCACCAGCCTGCCAAGAGTCCATGACACAGAAAAGGCAAAGAACTCCAGCCCTGGTTGTTGGTATCCTCTTCCTTCTCCTCAAATGACCATGTGCTTACTCATCTATGTGTTGAATGAACTCAGAAGGATCTAAGTTCTTTAAGGGAAAAGACTATTTTTTAGTTTATTTTTATTACCCTAGTACCTAGCAAAGTGTCTTACTTGCTGGATTGAACAAGAAAACATCAAAGAATTCTCTTGTCAAGGGCAAGAATTGTTGCTTCATCATCTGGGGTCCCTTCTACCTCCAGTTCATCCCCTTAATGGTTGCACCCTTAGCTGCTTTTTCCTCTTTGACAATGGAGGAGTCCTGCCATGAGGCCACATTATCCTGGGCCAGGTCAACAAGTCCTCAGTCACTTTGATTTCCACCATTTGATATTTTTTCCCTCCCTCTTACAAAAGGGTAGATAAGCCCCCACACATTGTCCCTGACCAGTGATACTTAGGAAAAGTAGTAGCCCAACAGTAGAAAACACTCATAAGAATTTGTACCACGAATAGGGAAAACTCTGCAGTTTTGTTTGATTGAAAGGATTTTTTTTTACATCTGTTCCCAAAGTGGAGCAAAGAGAAACTTCCCCCAGGAGAAATCATTCTCATTTTTCCTTTTCCTGGTGTGGAGGCTTTTGCTGATTTCGAGGCCTGGGCAAGGGAGGGCCAGTTTGCTTCTGGACTTTTGGAGAAGGCCTTTTCTGCTGCTGCTGAGGACGATGTCCAGGTACTGGGGGACAGCGACCAGGTACCTGGAGATGCTGACCAGGGGCCTGGGGACGATGACCACCTGGTTGCTGTGGATGGCGACCACCAGCTAGTTGTGGATGGTGACCTGGACTCTGATGAAGCTTTCGACCTCTCTCTTCCTTTACTCTGGAGATTTTAATCTCCAGATTCTGATCTGTAACTGCAAAAACAAAATGCACATTTAGCTTTTAAAGAAGTGGTCTAAATGTAATATAGAACCCTGAGGGATGCAAGCTTCCTCACAACTTTGTTGTTCTTGAGCCATTTTTCAGTCATATCTGACTCTTTGTGACCCCATTTTGGATCTTCTTGACAAGAATACTGGAATGGTTTGCATCGTTATAATGCTATTTCTAGGGACTATGCCATCAGACTACCTAGAGCAAGGATTTTTAGCCTAGAATCATATTTTGATGACTGTATTTTCATGTAATTATTTTTCTTTGTAATCTTATGTATTTTATTTTGTGTATTTAAAAACATTATTCTGAGAAGGGGTTCATGGCTTTATGAGAATGCCAAAGGGGTGAATAATACACACAAAAAGTTAAGAACCCCTGACCTAGAATGAAATAGGACTGTGAGATTTAAGAGCTGGAGGAAGCCTTCAAGGTAAGCTAATCCACTTTTTCATTATATAGCTGAGGAAACTGAGGAACAGAGAAGAATAAAGTACAAAGAGATTCCAAGACAAATTGGACTTTTTAGGCAATTGGGGTTAAATGACTTGCCCAGGGTCACACAGCTAGTAAGTGCCAAGTGTCTGGTCTGAGGCCGCATTTGAACTCATGGCCTCCTGACTCCAGGGCCGGTGCTCTATTCACTGTGCCACCTAGCTGCCCCGTGAATTGGACTTTTGCCAAACTACACAGCATTCCAGCTTGGAGCGTATCTGCTAAGTGTATTCTTGATTGGTTCATAAGGTTTTACTCTTTACTCAGTCTTCAGAAGGTCACAAGTAGTTCAAGTTCTGAGGCCCAAAGTCAAGAGACCCTCCCTCTGTCCCTCTCTTCCTTGGAGTCAGAGGACTCCTTGGCTACTAGTAATGTGCTTTGCTGTATGATTTCAGAAATAACAAGTGAAATCCATGATAGAGGTCTGGTGACAGTCGCAGCACGCTACTACTGTCCCCATCTTGTCTTCTTCCCCCTTAGAGATTTATCATCCCCAGAGCCTGCACTAGATGGTGGTGTCCCCAAGAGTCTGTCTCATCAGCTTCTATGAATTTGATTATCTTCTCTATAAAGATTCGCAGATCTTTATATCCAGCCCTCTCTGCTTTATATCCACCCGATTAACCAATCACCTCTTGCACATTAGAGCTGGATGACTGGTAGACATCTCAAACTCAACATATACAAAACAGAACAGAACTCATTCATCTTGCCCCACCAAGATCCTCCTGTCTCCCACACTTCCCTATTACCGTAAATGGCATTGCCATCCTCTCAGTCACCCAGGCCCAGAACCTCAGTATCATCCTTGATTACTCATTCACACTCGCCCCACATATTCAGTCTGTTGCCACCTCCTATCATTTCTACATTCGATACATCACTCCTACATGTCCATGTCTCAAGTCACATAGTAAGCACTGATGGGGGGGGCATCACCTCCTAGGGCCCACTGGTTGGTCTCCCTGACTCAAGTCTCTCCCGATTTTAATACATCCTCCACTCAGCTGTCAAAGTGATCTTTTTAAAGTCCAGGTTTGACCTTGTTACCACCCCACCAATTCAATAAACTCCAGTTTCTCTATATTACCTTCGGGGTCAAATACAGTACAAGTCAGGTACAGTAGATAGAACACTGGCCCTGGAGTGAAGAGGATCTTAGTTCAAATTTAGCCTCAGACACTTACTAGCTGTGTGACCCTGGGCAAATCACTTAACACTGCCTCAGTTTCCTCATCTGTAAAATAGACTGGAGAAGAAAATGGCAAACCACTCCAGTATTCTTGTCAAAAAGATCTGAAATGGGGTCACAAAGAGTCAGATATGGCTGAAAAATGACTGAATAACAGCAAAATTGTGAAGAGGCGTTCTTCTGACATCAAGCTTAAATCAGCCTTACTGAAATTTCCACCCACTGCACCTGGTTCCTCCCTTTTAGAAGAAATTGCATGATAGATCCTCAGATCTTTGAACCCAATAATCATATCTCCTCTGAACGTTCATTTCAGAAGGCTGGGCACCTCCAAGTGCTTCAAGCGATTCTCACGTTGGGTAGATTTGAGACTTGCACCATCCTCGTCCTTTTCTCTAAGTACTGTAGCTTATCAATGTCCTTCCTAAATTGTACCACCCATAACTAGACACAATATTCTAGGTATGGTCACATCCAGTCAGGGTACGAGGGAGCCATCGCCACCTAGTTCCTAGAAGCTCTGACACTATCTATGCAGCCCCAGATTGCATTAAGTTTTTTGGTAGCCACATCACAGTCCTGACTCATATTGAACCTGCAGTCCATAAACCCCCCTGATATTTTTTTCAGATATACTGCTGTCTAATCATCCCTCCCCCACATTATACATGCGAGGCTGACTTTTTGTAAAGTGCCTTAATTAACATTTACTCTGATGAATTTCATCTTGTTTAGATTCAGTCCAGCACTGTAGCCTCCCAAGGTCTTTAGGAATGCCGGATCCATCATCCAGTACGTCAACCATTCTTTCCAGCCTTTGTGTCATCTGAAAATCTGACAATCTTGCCATTGAGGCCTTTATCCAAGTCATTAACAGAATTGTAAGCAGCACAGGGTCAAGTGCAGACCCCTTTGGCACTCACATGGAGACTTCCTGCCAAGTTGTTAGCAACTACTCTTTGTTCCTGGCCTTTCTGTGAATTGGAATCCATCTGATGGCATCATTGCCTGGTCCCCATCTTTCCCACAAAATAGCATGAGATCAAATGCTTTGCTAAAATCTAGGTAAGCTATGGGCAGCTAGGTGGCACTTACTAGCTGTGTGACCCTAGTGACTTAACCCTGTTTACCTCAGTTTCCTCATCTGTCAAATGAGCTGAAGAAGGAAATAGCCAACTACTCCAGTATCTTTGCCAAGAAAACCTCAAATAGGGTCACGAAGAGCCGGGCATGACTGAAAATGACTGAATGATACACAGGTAAACTGTACCTATGGAATCCCTTGGAATACCAATTAATAACCATAAAAAAGGCATTAAATTTTATCAGGCATAATCTATTCTTGATAAAGTCACTTACAGTGGTGCTTCATAATCATCCTTTCAAGATATGTTCAGAGGGGCAGCTAGGTGGCGCAGTGGATAGAGCACTGGCCCTGGATTCAGGAGGACCTGAGTTCATGTCCGAACTCAGACACATAACACTTACTAGCTGTGTGACCCTGGGTAAGTCACTTAACCCCATTGCCTAAAACCCTCCTCCCAAAAAAAAGATATGTTCTGACACCAATTTAAAAAGGAGTTCCTACCATACTTAAAAGACAAATGCCATCACTTTTTTCCTAGTTCAAATTAACTCAATTCCTTCATCCTCCTCTTAGAAATTTAACTTTCTATCCTATTATTCATTTCTTTGATTTTCCCTGAATCCAATAGAATTGTAGAGGTAGACTGTGGCAAGACTGCTGGACATGAGGGTCAGAGTTCAAATCCTGACTCAGACACTGACTAGCTGGGTGACCTCAGTTTCTTCATTTGTAAAATAAGAATAATAATATTTGCAGTCCCTAACTCAAGAGTTTTTGGGAGGAAGGGCTTTGTAAATTTTAAAGTAGTGTAGAAATGTGAGTTATCTTCTTTTTTCCCCTTTAGCCATATTAAGAAATGGAGCTAACACAATTAACTTTTTATTATCCAGGGACTGATAATCCATTTTGTATACTGCTCTTTGCTCCCTCCTCCCCATTTCTGCTCCATACATATTAAGATACTCATCACAGTAAGTAAAACGTGTAAAAATATTCTGCCCACAGCTACTCAGCTCTTGGTGGAAATTAACCACAAAATTTTGTTTGCCCCAAAGACACTGAGCCCTAGACCACATATTGAACACTAGTTTTGCTCTGGTAGCCACTGGGAAGTTCTTTAGAGATTGGATCCAGTCTGAGCAAACCTGAGAAACCTGCCTATATAGTTAGGTGGCACAGTGGTTACAGCTTTGAACCTGGAATCAAGAAGACCTGAATTGAAACCTGGCTTCAGAAACTTACTAGCTGTATATCCCCAAATAAATCACAAAACCTCTGCTGTCTCAGTTTCCTCATTTGTAAATGGAGTTATTAGCAGTACTTATCTCCCACGGTTGTCGTGAGGCTAAAATAAAATAATAATAATAGTAATAAAATGTTCTACAAACATTAAAGCTATATACAAATGCTAGCTGTTATTAAAGTGAGTAGATCTCCTTTCTTTAGATCTGACCAGGTAGAGCAGTGGATAGAGTGCCAGACTTGGAGTCAGGAAGACTCATTTTTGTCACTTCAAATCTGGCTTAAGATACTTCCTAGCTGTGAGATCCTGAGCAAGTTACTTAATCCTGTTTGCCTTAGTGTCCTCATCTGTAAAATGAGCTGGAGAAGTAAATATGGTGCAAATCACTCCAGGATTTTTACCAAGAAAACCCCAAATGGGGGTCACAGAGTCAGACACAACTGAAATGACCAAACTGGGTCTGACTGAACCAAGCTTAAAGATCCAAAGATATTTACAGGATTATGAAGTATGGAGAGTAAGAGGTAGAAAAGACCTGAGCGGCTCCCTAGCTCGTCTGTACCTAAAGGTTCTACAACAATTTCTTTGACCTTTGTTTGAAGATACCACAAATACTTCCTGAGGCAGCCCATGCCACTTTAACTATTCTAATTAACAGGAAGTTTTGTCTTACCTTAATAGAAGACACAACTTCCTGCAACTACCACCCACTGCTGATCCTATACTGACTTCTGGGGCTAAAAAAAAAAAAATCTAGTCCCTTCTCAACATGGTAGCAATTCATATACCTGAAGACAAATATCATTCCCCTATCTGTGTCTTCTCTAGACATTCCTTGGTTCCCTTAATGGTTCCTTTTATGACATGCACTCCAATCTGGGGGGCAGCTAGATGGCACAGTGGATAGAGCTCAGGCCTTGGAGTCAGCAGGACCTGAGTTCAAATCTGACCTCAAACACTTGAC